CTGATCATGGTGACTGACTGAATATCAGCATCTATAGCAGGATTCCCATGTTAAAGGGTGTCGATGATTCAAAATGTACAAATTTGTAGTACTGAAATCTTGTTCTAAATTAGTATATTTTAACTCACTTTTAGGCAGTAATGCAAAAATTTTAGGCAGTAGTATGTAAAATCAAATCCTGGGACACCTGACCATAAAAACTAGGATTTTGAGATCATTTGATGAGATGTGAGCAAAATGTCCTTTTGGGTCTATGTCAAAAAATATTTGCAACTCCTACAAACATTGATCTTGTTTGGGGAAACACTAGGCTCAATGAGCATGTGCAAAAGATTTTTCTGGCACCCTACAACAAAAGTAATTCTGAATCTACATCTACATATATCTATATTCATACAGATATATTGTCTTTTCATTGCAAGTCCCCCTTTTTCCTCTTTCTTCCAGTTTTTCTTTGTGGTTACATAATAAGAGAAAGATATAAAAAGTTGCAATTTATCTATTAAAACCATTATTGTATCAAAAATGATGACTTCTTGTAATGTGTTTTGACTAAAGTGTGATGCATTCCATGGATCAGGGTTTGAAGAATACTTTAATTTCTGAAGAGTAGACAAGGAAATGTATTAACATATGACAATGTATTATCAGTTGTTGGTGATCCACTGATGCTAATATCTATAATTGCACTGGGCTATTCCTGTAGTGTCTTTCATAGATTGACTGAAATATATCATGATGATGATGATCATCATCATCATCACCTGTACCCACCAATTAATGGTATAATTATTAATTAATGGTATAGTGTTTCCTGCCTGAGCAAGGCATTGAACTGGAAGACTCCCAAGGTCCCTTCCTACTCTGTTATTCTGTTACTAAAGATAAATAGCACAAATATTCTTTAAAAATCAAAAGTTAAAGCTGTATCAAAATGTGTAAATGAATCCTCTTTTCTACAACAAAATTCTCTGATCCATTCCAGAGTCTCTCAATCCCTTAGCAGAGTTGTAAGACTACAAAAAAGAAAAACATCCATTCTCTGATGGACAGAGTCGGTGAATGTTAATCTGTATTGCACACTGTATGCAAAAATGACACCTATAATGAATGAGAAAAAAAGTAACCATAACTGCCACATTTCGTTCTGTATTATAAATATGCACAGTGTAAAAGAGAATATCAATGTTATTTTCTTATGGGTCAACAGTATACTTTTTGAGACTTTTCAAACTAGCATGAATCAATGGTTAAGGTAAAGATTAATTTTCAAAAATGTATGGCTGAGTTTCCTTGTCAACATTACAGACATGGCTTGCTACTGCCTTCTGTGATTTGGGGGGATTGAGATGGGGGGATGGCAACTCAATAAGGACCACAGTCCTTACATTCTAATAGCGGTTTCCCATCCATGAACTAACCAGATCTGCCCTATTTAGCTTTAAAGATTACCTTTAAATCTTTAGCTTTAAAGAGTCCTTATGATATTTCAACAGAACATGAAATGTGGGTAAGCAATTTAGGCCATTTTTTCCCATAGGAAGGCTATCATTCTATACGTGACATACTCAGAAAGGTCTTGTTGAAATTTTTGAGAAAGAACAATGTAGGGGACAATTCTTAACGTGGTATTGTTAACTCCAATTATGCATACGACTTTAATTCCAGTTATGCAAGTAAAATGACCAACTGAACAGTGAACTCTTTTCCCCACAATAGTAAATGGACCATTTTAATTGCATAAATTACTCTGAAAGCCAAGATCTTAATTACATTCCTGTTAAAGGCAGTTGGTTAAGTTTCTGTTAAGTAGCACAGGAATCACCACAAAGTAAGAGTAGCCATATAACTAGGACCTGAAACAGCAATATAGCAGTAACTGCTTTAAAACAGGATAAAATAGCAAAGTATAATACAAATGGAAAATGAAAAAAAAATAAAGTAAAATAAAATAAAGCCAATGTAATTATATAGAATTGTTTGTAATTTCTAATAGCTGTAAGTGAGGAAACAATTCATGACAAATTCCAATTATAAAAAGAAATTATCTGTTCTGCAACAGCAATTTTAGTGACATTTTTAATATAGAGAAATCATGAACCTTAATTATTGGAATTTACTTGTGCTACAGATGCTCTACTGAAATCTAATTAAATAGATCTGATAGTACTTCCAGAGAGAAGGCTTTAAATGGGAAATTTGCTGATCCATGTATTGGCTTAAATACCAATTTTTGATGACATCTGAAACAAAAGAAAAGCCACTTTATCCAAAATCTTCAATCTGAATGGGGGGGGGGGAATGATGTATTAAATTTAAGAGGCCCAACATAAAAATCATTTCACTTGTTTGGATATTGTATTCTCCATAGACTTATCAGTGTCCCTCTACTTTCATGTTTAGTTAGTTAAATATTAACAGCAGCTTAAACTAATTTTTTAAAACTTACTGTGATGTTCAATGAGCATCACAGTGTCTTTCAATCCATTTCTAATTCTGTTCTGAAAAATACTGAGTGAATTACATTTATTCTACCAGTCAACACTTCACCAGATTGTATCATTGGGACTGGATACCAGAATTCCTTATGAATTTGGACTTGGTTTCTAACAGAACCTAAACAGTTCTGAATTGCTTTGCTTTTTCCCCAATGGTGCCCTAACTCCTTGCCCAAAAGTAGAGTATATTTTCATCAGGGCTGAAAGTTCTACTATAGTACTAAAGAAAAGAACACACACACAAAAAACATAGAATTAAAAGTTCAGTAAAATAGGTATGTATTTTATAATGGTTGTGTCTCGGCTAAGAAAAGAAACTGTGTGATAAACCAATGTATATGGTTACTTGTATATAAAAGTCTAAGGGTAATTGCGTGATACAATTAAAAAAAACACTATTCAAAAGTTGGTTTTAATGGTTGGGTTACTTTTAATTTTAGGGTTGCTGATCTTGAAAACCGCTGATGAAAGGATTTCGAACACTAAGATATTTAGCAAACGTATGAAAAACAAAACTTTTTCTCTGAACATATTAGTGTCTTAGTAAGATTTTTGATATTTTAAAAATTATATGCAAAGTTTTGGTAATTGGGATTTATTGTCTAGATATCTTTAGTAATATAAAAATGTGGATTAATGTCTATATATGCGGGATATATCAAGAATAACAAGTATTAAATATTATATTAATCCCTGGAATATGTTTGTTTTCTGCAAATATGATAAGCAGTATATTACAATGTATCAAGTCGTGGAATCATAGTATTGACACACAAAGCAAGGTAGTCTGTCTCCAGGTTGTCAATGAAGTGAGACTTAAGTTATATACCATGCCCTTACTTATTGAACATATATTCTGATTAATGTATATATTTAGGGAAACGTGATTACAATGAGTATGCTTTCTAAATTGGAAAGTAAAACATCAATAACTGTGGTATGGTAATGCCATTACTTGAATACCTAAACATGAAAAGGATCTTACCAGTTCTGATTAAAAAAAAGTCAAGGAGCACACTGAAAAAATTGGACTAAAATTAAATATAAAAAAGATCAAACTAATGCCTTACAGCCTTGGTAAGGCCACACTTGGAATACTGTATTCAGTTTTGGTCGCCACGATGTAAAAAAGATGTGGAGACTCTAGAAAGAGTGCAGAGAAGAGCAAAATAGATGATTAGGGGTCTGGAGGCTAAAACATATGAAGAACGGTTGCAGGAACTGGGTAAGTCTGGTTTAATGAAATGAAGGACTAGGGGAGACATGAGAGCAGTGTTCCAATATCTCAGGGGCTGCCACAAAGAAGAGGGAGTCAAGCTATTCTCCAAAGCACTTGAGGGCAGGACAAGAAGCAATAGTTGGAAACTAATCAAGGAGAAAAGCAACTAAGGAGAAATTTCCTGACAGATAGAACAATTAATCAGTGGAACAACTTGTCTCCAGAAGTTGTGAATGCTGCAACACTGGAAGTTTTTAAGAAGCTGTTGGATAACCATTTGTCTGAAGTGGTGTAGTGTTTCTTGCCTAAGCAGGGGGTTGGACTAGAAGACCTCCAATGTCCCTTCCAAATCTGTTATTCTAAATGTTATAGTCACTGTATTATTGAGAAATTGGCACAGAAATTTAATAAATAATAAATGAATAAAAAATTAACAGGTGGTACAACCAGCTTTAGAATTTGATAGTAAATATATCAAAGTGGTAGATACCTTTTAGGTTTTACTAAAACCTTTTAGGTTTTACTATGAACAGTAAAGGAACAAGTCAAGAAATACATTGCAGACTCCCACTTGATAGGCCAGCAATTAAGGCCTTGGAATAGCTATTCAGATGCTGTCATATGTCTGTACCTACAGTATAAAAATCAGAGTAGTACAAGCAATGGCATTCCCTGTGACATTCTATGAAAGAGAAAATTAGATTTTGAAGAGGCAGGATAGAAAGAGCATTGATGTTTTTGAACTTTGATGTTGGTGAAGTCTATTGGGAATACCATCGGTAAGCAAGAAAACAAACAAATGGATCACTGAACAAATCAGCTCAGAGTTCTCATTTGAGACATGTAATGACCAGATGTAAGTTATCATACTGTGAATACATTTTTCGAACACCTACCTTTCTGGAGAAAAGTGTAATGCTGGGAAAGGTGAAAGAAAGAGAAGGAAGGAAAGAGAAGAAGTAGCAAAGAGGAGAGCCTCAATTACATTGGTGATGGATACAAAACCTAAAGGACTGAAATCTGAATTCCATCACCAATGTATCAGGGACAAAATGATTGAGAAAATCTATCTTTGAACACTATGAGTCACATTGACTTGATGGCACATAATCAAATAATATGTACAGTGAGTTAAAAACTTTCCATGGTAGAAGATTGTTTTGTTTTGTTTGTATAGGTTAATGAATTTGCATTTCTAGAGATAAAAGCATTGTATAGTAATCCAACTAATCTACATTTTCATTTGCATGTGGTAATTGTATGTCTCTTCTAGCTGAGATGAGCAATAATTGTGATTTTACATGTTTTTTTCTTTATACTGTTTTATATTTTTATTTTTGTAAACTAGTGAGAATCTAATGAGTAGGTGGCATATACAATTTTATAAATAGAATAAATTGTCACTCTGATTTTTTTATTTATCTTGAAGAGCAAACCTTCTATTTTGCAAACACGATGTGTTGTTCTAAGTTGAATTTCTGGTTATTAGGAATAAAAAACAGTATATATGCAGCAGTACAGAGTGACCCACAAAAGGCAAAACAGAAAGCTGGTATTTAACACTTCTTGCCAAGGGAGTATGTCTCAGATGGTAGCACAAATATGATATTTTGTAGAAGCTTAGCATGTTCCAGCTACAACAATTGACTTCTAGCATCTTGTCCCACTTAGAAAAAAATTCTTGCATGGTCTCCACCATCATAAGATTATTAGGTTCAATATGTTTGACACTTGTAGATTCCCGCAGAGGAAGCTTTCAGGATATAAAAGAAGGACATGTCTGAATACAAAAAAAAAAAAAAATGATATATTGTACACTAAAACAATCAAGAACATACCCCATTTTATTGCACTGTGGAATTTCTCCGAATAGGATTAATGTAAATCTTTGAAATAAGATTGGGACAAACAGAAAGAGAAAGAGCAGGGAAAGAGATGAGCAAAGTAAACACTTTTTCTTAATGATTCCGACATGTGAACCTGAGTCAATAAATATTCCACAACATATCCGGTATTAATGAAATACTTATAGCAGGGTGTCAAACTCAAGGTGCTTAAATCTGGCCTGTGGGACTGGCCTGGAAATAGCAAAAGTCCGGCCTGCGGTGCCTCTGGCAGCCAAAACGGGGTGTGGGGGCTGTGCATGCCCCCCATACTCCATTTTGGCCAGCAGGTGCAGCAGGAGGCGTCCATCCCATCTCTCCCCCTCAGCCAGCCCACAGTGCTGATTCAGCCCTCGAAGAAACCGAGTTTGACACCCCTGACTTATAGGGTCTAATTTTATTCCAAATCTATGTTGGATAAATGATGCTTAACCATGCTTTTAGAGAATTCTTAAAGTAACTTCCACTATATCTTAGGACAGTGGAAGTTAGGGGGATCTGACTTCAACTCTGGGAAAAAGGAATTGGATTTTTTCACTTGTGAATAATATTATTTTGTATATTTGGGTAAAAGGAGAAATGATAAAAATAAGTTTTGATAGCGGCAAAATCATTTCAAATTAATTTGAATCTTCTGTTCTTCCAATCATAAAAGAAGTTTACTTTTTAAAGCAACTATTTATGTAAATTTTGGCACTGATATTAGTTTAGTGTATGAGCCTTTTTCCACCCAAGCTAAAAACAAATGGTTATTGTGACACAGCTCTTAAAGTGGATATCAAAAACGAACTAAATATCTAAAACTTAAATTATGTTCTGTTTCTTGGTGATTCATATTAAAAGGCAAATTTGATTTTGATCATTTGATAAGATATGCTACATAAAGGTTTATGTTGGATTTCTTTTCCTGGCACATTCATGTTGATCAATTTTGCTGTGGTAAGAACTTATATAGGATTGCAACAAATAACAAAATCCAGATCAATAAAAACATTAGTAATAAATGAAAGTCTCCTGGGTGAACAAATCCATTGCAGTACACCAAAATGAAATGTTGAATAGAATGTATCAGTCAGAAAAAAGCAATATAGACCAATCAATACATAAGTTCTATGGATGTATAAGCTCAACATTAAGCATTACTATTGGCCTTAATAAAATATGATACCCCTTTGTACATAGTTTGTAAAAAGAATATGAGCAGACATAATTGATTAGAGATAGTTTTTTTATGAAAGGGATGCCAATAAAGATGCCACTGTTGTACAGTTGCCCAACTTTTCACCTTGTTACCATTACTATAAAAAGCATAGAAGACCCCTCCTCGACTTGATTAATATTTCTAATGCTTCACTGAGAAGGACTTTAATATCCCTTAACCTGCAGACCACATCACCTCCCTCAAACTGAGAGATTGCAAGCTCCCTGTCAAACAACATCTCTGTTTTGTGGTGTTGGTTAAGTGGAGGATATAATTCATCATGTCCTCCACCTCCCCATTTATAATGAGATTGGGGTAAATTATTGATGGTACGGGAACTCAAGGGCTCCGACGTCAAAAAAACTGAACTGTGTTGTAGACATGTTCTCATCTGTCAGGAACCAAGTTGCTACTTTTGCTCTCCTGTCACTTAAATGTAGAATTAAGTTCATAGTTGTAGCTTTGACTTTCTCTTGCTGTCACATTTTTGCATCTAATACTGTTTTTATTACTTTATTTTATAATCTTACTATTTGACTGTTACGTTGTTATATTTTAGAATACATTATATGTTATATGGCCTGTAGGTACAGCAATAAATTTATAGTCATAATGTTATACTTCCTGTAACATGGTGAAAAAAATTAAAACATTAAAATAGTGGTTTTTGTAAAATAATTTGTAAGCCTGTTGAAGTTTAAAACAAATTTCTTCTATACATTTCATCAGTAGTATTATTTAAGTCTCAGTTCAATGCTTAACTATTATTTTTTTTAGCAATTGCAGGCTGTTACTTGGAAACAATAATTATTTCCCAGCAAAGTGTTGTTAATGTAACAAATGCAGTACCTTACACTATCTAATGCCGTACAATCATTTCTTCCCTCTCCTTCATTAATTTTATCTCTCTACAAAAGCTTTGAAAGAATTAAGATTACTGTTTAGGGTATAATGTCTCCAAGCTTCTGTATCATTTAAGATACCAAATATTGCATTCTTCTAGATGGCATTAATTTCTAAATTGTATCTGAGAAGCTTTCTCAGTAGACTCAGGCTATTTTGTTAAGCGATTGTAGTGTTGGTGTAATGAAAAAACAGCTGTGAAGTTTATAACAATAAAGTTGTGATGATAGGAAGCAGAAATCTGCAGAATAGCATGTGATTATAATGTTCATGCATAGCCTGCTACCACAGTTTACTGTTCTGGTTTTCCTTGTTATGACATGGTTTTCATCAATATTTTCATAAATTTAATAAATTTGAGAGCTTCATATGATTGGTCAGGGGAAAGTGTCATATTCTATAATTGAAATGTAAAAAAAATTCCTTATGCTAAATTACACCTTAATCCTGGGGTAGGCAACTGTGCCCCCCCCCCCCTTACAACATGTGGACTTCAACTCTCAGAATTTCTGAGCCAGCATGGCTAGCTCAAGAATTCTGGGAGTTGAACTTCACGGGTTATAAAGGGGGCATAATTGTCCACCGCTGCCTGAATCCTTTACCACTCTGCATAGGATAGCTCTCTGTATAAAGTAAAATTTATAAGGAATACTTTTTACAGTGGAGATGGGAGAACTTGATAATTTGCATTAGAATTTGTTAATGAATTGTTCATTAACTACCTGTTTAAACTATTGGTATGAGAAAGGATATCCCCCCCCAATTATTTTAGTGTAATATTGCACAAATGCAGTTGAAACCTTATGTTTCTTTCTGGAACAATATATATTGTGCCTACGGCATTTGTTCAGGAAGGACTACAAATTTTGTTCCTTGTGTGAGTAAGAAGCTTGTGCTATACATCTGCCAACATAGGAAGGCCTGACCTTAATAAACCTATTCTGGACCCGCCCTTTCATTTTCAATGGATAAACTTGGAATCCAGACAATATCTTTCTCCCTGTGTTTAAAATTATCTAGAGTTAAAGCAGTAGCATGAAGGAAAGCTATCTTATATTTAATTCAGATGAGGAGGACTGGCAAAAGATAAATAAAGAATTTAGAAAGTTAATTTCTGTGAGGACCCTTTACCTTTGGATGTAAAGACATGATACACATCTAATAAATTAATATTTTGGGGGGCTTCTTTCAATGGTAATAATGTTGCTTGACTTAGCTTGTAACCAGCTGTACTTAGCTGTACTTTCTAGGTAGCACACTAAAACATAATTGTCTTCATAGTATAATTCTTGATAATACATGGATTCTGCTGGTTAATGACTGCAATAAAGAGATTTGATTTGATATAAGACATGAAGTACATTGATTTGTGAATAAAGGTGTGCTAAAGTGTCTAAACAGCATAGTCTACTTTACAGATGGAAATATCCAATTCAGGATATAAGAAAAAATAAAAATGTAGTATGCATTCTCATGCTACTAGAACCTTCAGCCCTGTTTCTCCAAAGTCCATCTTAAAAATAAAACCAGAACACATCAGGCGACTGGATAAAATAGGACCATTGTAGGGCCATCATCTGCCACTCTACTTGACCCCCCCCCCCCAATGGGCATGCTAGATGACTAGTTTAAGTCCCTATCTCTTGGAAACAATCCTGATTTATGCACTACATAACTATACATATGTATAGTTATCTTATACACATTTGACAAATAAATAAATAAAATAAATAATAAATAAAAAGTCCTCGACTTAAAACCATTCCTTTAGTGACTGTTGGAACAGCACTGAAAAAAGTGACTTATGATTGTTGTAGCATCCCCATGCTACATGATCAAAATTTAGATGTTTAGCAACTATTGTGATGATTGCAATGCCCTGAAGTCATGTGATTACCCTTTGAGACCTTCTGACGAGCAAAGTCAATGGGGAAGCCAGATTTACTTAACGTGTTACTAACTTAACAACTGCAGTGAATCACTTAACAGTTGTGGCAAGGACACAAAATGGGGCAAAACTCACTTAACAACTGTCTTGCTTAACAACAGAAATTTTGGGTTCCATTGTGGCTGTAAGTCAAGGACTACCTGTTTAGGAAATAGTAGACATTAGTAGTAAGAGACTCTTTAAAAATCTTTAGAAATGCAGAAAAATAACTTCTCTTAAATAGTCAATCAGAGTTACAAATATTACAAACTACTTTAGGGCCAATACACTTTCCCCCCCAAAGTGAAATTTGGTGTGAATACAATCATGTAGAGAATTCATATGTTAAAGTAGATCAAAATCCAGCTGTGTTGTACCATACACTCTAGACATAATGGCTACTACTTATATAGAAATGAAGAGAAATCCTTCATACTATATATCAGAGCACTTTAGAAAAGTGTCATAATTTAATAGGAAAAGACATGATTTATAAAGCCTATGACTGGCTCCTGATATCAATTCCAGCAGGACTATCCTATCTGAAATATGGGCCAGGTATTACTCATCTAAATGAATTACTGTCTGACATAACATAGAGTCAGAGAAAATAACCTCATGGCATTAGCCAGGAATCAGAAAGAAAAGTGGCAATTTTTTTTTTTGGTAAACCTTAATTATTCTGATTCAGATGTTATGAGCTAAGATTCATGCCTGCAGTATAAAGGCTCAAATTATTATTATTAGGAATACTCACCTTTTTTGGTTTTCATGGTAGCAAACTGGTACAATTCTATATTTGTATAGTATCTCTGATATTTCTTGACTGTTAGCAACAGTTATTATTATTATTAGTCATAATTCTATGCCGCCCACTCTCTGAGGACTCTGGGTGGCTTACACCAAAGACAGTATACTAAATAGCATATTGCCCCCAACAATCTGGGTCCTTATTTTACTCACCTCAGAAGGATGGAAGGCTGAGTCAACATTGAGCCGGTGAGATTTGATCCGCTGATCTGCTGAACTAGCAGTCAGCTGAAGTAGCTGCAGTACTGCACTCTAACCACTGCAAGTTATTGACTTCCGGATGATGTCGCGGCGAGATCAGATACAAGGAGTGGGCCTTTGCACTCCCATGCCGAATCCTCCTCATTGGTGGGCTCCAAGAGGAGCCAAAACTTCCCTGTAGGGAAGGCGAAGCCAAGAGGGGTGCCCTGCATGGTCATAGAGAGTCACAACTCTCCTGCCTGACCCGGGGTTTTTCTTTCCCTCTTAGCTACGAAGAGGAGAAGAGGCAACCTAAACATGGCTGCCATGAAGCTGGGGCAGCTGAGGAACACCTAAGACTGGTGCTGGAGCAGAGTTAGTGAACAGTGATTGGAGCTGGGTGAGAAGATCCCCCCCCTTTTTTTTTGCATTTAGTCCCCAAATTTAAAGGAAAAAAGAAGAAAATCCAGAGAAGAAAAGAGACTCTTAGAATTATCTTTTATAAAGTGGCGAATAACCATTGAGAAAGAAGTCCTAGACCCGAATGAAAGGAACTGAGGGGAGAAAAGCTAAAGATCTTTTAATCAAAGAAAATTGGATTTTAAACTGGGTAAGCATTGTTATGGAAAGGCATTATAATATGTTGGAACTATGTACCTGAATTGATTTGAGTATTTAATTTTGTCTCTGTAAACTTTGTAAACTGAATTAACTTTGGATTTTAATTTTTCATGTTTGAAACAATGCTGAAATCTCTGTTGATGCTGCCATCTACTGGTGAATGGAATATACTACATCCTTACAAAACTAGGAAAATTTTGATAGAAGAAATAAGCAACATTTTTTTGAAGGATTGTGATGATACTAACTGTCCTATAGCTAATTACTTTACTATTGTGATAAGGAAGACTTTTAAGTAAAGTAAAGTGACTTTTGTTGTGTGGAAACTGTCTGGACTATTTAAATGGAATTGATTAATAACCCTGAGATGTAAAGAGCTATGATTATTGAACTCTTTGATGAGCAAAACTGGAACTGAATATATTGTTTGTGGCCCTGACTAAAAGTGGACTTATTAAACTAGAACAAGATGCCTTTTCAGGGGAAAATGAGTGAGATTTCAAGAGAAAAGGTGTGGATGTTTCAAAGCATCAGGGATACCATGATAAAGAAACAAAGAGAGATAAAAGCCAAGGCATAAGTGACAAAGTAGAAAATATGATACAACTGGCAATGAATGAAGATCAAAGAGTCTAGGAAAGAGAGGAGGCACCAGAAAGAATGGAGGAAAAGATAGAACAGACAAACCACCAAATAAAACAAGAGGATGAGAAAAACTTTTTGAGAGATATAAAAATGGAATTGGAATTGGATAATCTGGAAGATGTTTTTGAAAGGGAGATAGGAGTATGGGTGGATACTCTGGAGATATGGCAGCCTAGGAGGATAGAAATAGGGGAAATATTTAGATGGAATAATGAAGATACAGATGTTGACAGAGACAAAGATCCAAGAGAGGAGTATGGGAGGAAAGCCAAAAAACGAATAAGAATTGAAGTATTAAAACAGGCAAGCGTTGATGGATAGAATAGAGCTATTTTTTCCTTTTTTTCCTTCTTTTTTCTACTATAATGATGGTCTGATTAAAACCTAGAAATAGAGGTAGAAATAAGAATATACACCCTATACACCCTTATATGAAGGACTATGTATTAACATAAATATGTCTTTTAACATTAGGATTAGTAAGAGTGACCTGACTAGAAGCCAGAATAGAGGTAGAAATAAGAATTAGGGGAAATATGAGTAGTTATAATTTCTATATAAATTGAAAATAAGTAATACTTAGATGGAAAGTTGAGAGGTTGAAAGATGGTATTACTTTGTATGTTCAAGAAGATCATTGACATTAGAATGGAACATTAAAATATTGAATAGCTACTTAAAATAATCAAGTACATTAACATTAGGATTATATAAATTTGATTAATGTAATAATTGACTGTCGTTATTTGTATTACTATGAACCATACCTAGAGACCACACTGTTCATGTATTGATGCTGATATATGTTTAAAAATAAAAACACAATAAACCTTAAAAGGCTCAAATTATTATTAGGAATACTCACCTTTTTTTGTTTTCATGGTAGCAAACTGATACAATTCTATATTTGTATAGCATCTCTGATATTTCTTGACCATTAGCAACAACACACATAGATGCTACCCTTACATTTTGCAAAATGAAGCCAGATTTGTTTTCTGCACTTAAAGAGCAGCAACAGTCAGAAATCTTGGGCTGCTTATTGTGTAATTAGCTTGCTTTCTTTATAGAATTTTGTTAAGAAGGCAGTGACAAATCATTTCTGTTATTGTTATCAAGAGAACTGCATAGTTGTATCCATATAATCAGCCATGTATTGACAGGGAAGGAGGTTCATTTTTTTTGTACTAAAAAAAGGTTTTGTGTAAAATTTGAAACTGGTAACACTTTTTTTTTTTTTGCATTTCTTGATGTCTTTTTAGTTAAAAGCTTCAAATACAAGGTAGCATCTAGCGCCATATTTCCATGGACCATTGGCTGTTCAAGGAATAAGAGGGAGTAATATCTCTTGCCCATAGGACTTTGAAAGTCTTCTCAAAAGGGCTACACTTCCTTTCCATGCAGTGCAGGGGAGAGGGGAGAGGGAACTAGGCTCTTTGTGGTAGCATATGCTCAACCACATAATGTTGACTTCATTGCTCATTTAAAACAATGCATTGAATATTTACCTAATGGCTGTTGGATATCTTCTACAAGACTATAGCCTTCTGCACCTAAGAAAAATGTAGGAAAAGGTGTTGTGGAGGTTATTAAATCAATAAACTGTGAACCTCTATCTCTATGAAACTCTACTTAAACAAATGAGCCTCTGAAGCAGCCTACAGCAAATGTTTTTATTTACACAATGAAAACATAATAATATATATACAATTAATAAACATCACTAAGTTAATCTAATAAATTATACTGACAGCTATCTATCTATATACATATCTATTCTATCTAAGCTATGCTATCTATGAATATTCTTCCTGAGAAGAAATACCACAATATACCACAGAACTGCTCTTCTAACAGACTTCCAGACTGCTCACAGTTCTCTAAAGGAATATCCTAGAATACAATACAATACTAGACAGAAGATCATACTGAACAGCAAGGTGAAGAGCAAAACTTAATACCAAACTGAAGAGCAAAGGTTTCTATTAATAATCTCTTTTTTACTGTTAACTGTGACAGTTAGGGGATGGCCCTGGAGATTCAAACACACTAGCTGCCCTCTGATTGGTCCGCACATCTGTACATTCCAAAAGCCATCAATTTATTTATTTATTTTATTTATTTATTAAATTTATATACCGCCCTATTCCTAAGGGACTCAGGGCGGTGAACAGCGAACGATAAAAATACATGTAATACAAATGTTAATAATAAAAAACCAATTAAAATATACTAAACATTCTGGTCCTAGATAATTCAAGACATCCCAGTTTAAAATAAAATCAAAAAGCAATATAAAGGGAAAGTTAGGCCAGGCCGGCCTGCTGAAACAGGAATGTTTTGAGGGCACGGCGGAAAGTGCGCAGATCCGGAATCTTCTGTATCTCTGGGGGGAGCTCGTTCCAGATGGTGGGTGCCCCCACAGAAAAGGCTCTCCCCCTGGGAGCCGCCAGTCGACATTGTTTGGCTGACGGCACCCTGAGAAGCCCCTCTCTATGGGAGCGTACTGGGCGGTGAGAGGCTATTGGTGGCAGAAGGCGGTCTCGTAAGTACCCCGGTCCTAAGCCATGGAGTGCTCTAAAGGTGGTAACTAAGACCTTGAAGCGCACCCGGAAGACCACAGGGAGCCAGTGCAGCTCGCGCAGGAGGGGAGCCACATGGGAGCGCCATGCTGCTCCCATAACTACCCGCGCGGCCGCATTCTGGACCAGCTGGAGCCTCCGGGTGCTCTTCAAGGGGAGCCCCATGTAGAGAGCATTACAGTAGTCCAGGCGTGAAGTGACGAGGGCATGAGTGACCGTTTTTAACGAGTCCCGATCCAGAAAGGGACGCAACTGGCGAATCAGGCGAACCTGATAAAAAGACCTCCCGGCCACAGCTGTCAAGTGTTCTTCTAAAGACAGCCGTGAGTCCAAGAGGACGCCTAAGTTGCGAACCCTCTCCGTTGGGGGCAATGACTCATCCCCAATAGTCAGTGATGGCACCAATTGACTATATCGGGACGTCGGAAACCACAGCCACTCGGTCTTGGATGGGTTGAGCCTGAGTCTGTTCCTCCCCATCCAGATCCGTACAGCCTCCAGGCACTGGGACATCACTTTAAGGGCATCATTGGGGTGGTCCGGGGTGGAGATGTATAGCTGAGTATCATCAGCATACTGATGATACTTCACCCCAAAACCACGGATGATCTCACCCAGCGGCTTCACATAAATGTTGAACAGAAGGGGTGAGAGAACCGACCCCTGTGGCACCCCACATATAAGGGGCCTCGGGGTCGACCTCTGCCCCCCTGTCAACACAGACTGCGACCGATCAGATAGAAAGGAGGAGAACCACCGCAACACGGTGCCTCCCACCCCTAACTCCTCCAACCGGTGCAGCATGATACCATGGTCGATGGTATCAAAAGCTGCTGAGAGGTCTAATAGGACCAGGATAGAGGAGCAACCCCTGACCCGGGCCCTCCAGAGATCATCTACCAATGCGACCAATGCCGTTTCCGTGCTGAATCCAGGCCTGAAGCCCGACTGGAACGGATCTAGATAAGCCGATTCATCCAAGTACTGAGGAAGCTGTCGCGCTACCACACTCTCAACAACCTTCGCAATGAAGCGAAGGTTGGAGACTGGACGGTAATTAGCCAACACTGCTGGGTCCAGAGAAGGCTTCTTGAGGAGAGGCCTCACCACCGCCTCCTTCAAGGCAGCAGGGAAGACACCCTCTCTCAAGGAAGCATTTATAATCCGTGGAGCCAGCCTCGTGTAACCTCCCGAGAGGCCAGCACCAGCCAGGAGGGACACGGGTCCAATAAACATGTCCAATAGGCACAGCTATAGAGAAATAATTTTTCTCTAACAAAAGGTATGCCAGGAAAAGAGATTTTGATGGTGAAAACACTTTCAATCCCAGCTCTATTTTTTATATTTCATTTGGTTATTTATAACTTGAAAGGCAGTCCCTCTTTGGTCCACTTAGGAATTTAAATGACATTGGCAATTTCATCAATTTTTCTTGGTAAACAATTGATTAAGCAGTGCAGGCCTTTTAATACCAATTTTGCGTGATTCCAATTCTTGGTACTACTTAGCAGCCTAATTTAGCTACCACCAATTGAAATGGTCAAATATTTTTCAAAGACTGTCCATAGAGAACATGGTGCAGTAGCCAAGTTAAGAACATAACCAAGTCATCTTCACTATGTCCACCAGGCATGTGAAGAAAAGCACTCTTTGCCACAGCTAAGGACCAAGGAAATCTCAGACTTTAATCTGCAGGAGAATATGTCAGGAGAATATAGAACAGTACAGAACAGGATGAGCCAATTCCTGGATCCTTCTGTCAGTCTACCAACAACAATTCTGTCTTAGTTGGATCTAATTTTAGGTTCTTCCTCCTCCTCTAGTCCATTTTTCAAAAATTTAAATGCTACTTATGACTTCCTTGAAAGTGAAGGAGCATGGTTTCATGCCAATGTTGAATAGGGAGATCAGATGAAAACAGTGTAGGGCATCATTGGTATTGTACTGTATCTTTTATGATATTATCTACATTTTGCTGACATGAAGGATACAACAAAAGTTTTGTTCCCAAGTCTTAAGTCTAATAAACAGTCCTGAAAGCTAACATGATTAATGGTACTGAAACCTACGGAGAGTTACAGAATACAGCAAGGCTATGCTCACCACATCTCATTTCTGGTGTGGGTTATCTACAAAGCTGATCAAAGCAAATTCATTACCATAGTGTAGCTGAAAGCCTGAAAGAAATTGCAGTTTTGCTTCTAAATTCTAGAGCTAGGAAGTTGGTAGTTGGTCTCTCCTCTGTTTCCCATGTTTTTGTATCTTCTAGAATCTTGAAGCATCTCCCTTCAATCACAATTATGATTACACTGTGTCCATGCAAGCTGTCTTCATATTAGTTGCCCAGGAACTATTTATTTGCATCAATAGGCCTGGCTTTGCATAACATTTCTCTTACATTATTCAGATTACTTTGTCTGCAGAGCTTTTTTCAAATGTGTCCCTTCATCCTTATCACTCGGCACATGTCCTTGCTAAAATATTCATGTCAACATTTCTGTAGTTCTTTAATACTATGAAAAATCAAATACTAATTAATTTTTAGGAATTATTGTAAGAAGTTACGAATTCATAACCCTAGAGTACCGTTACATTTTGCCCCACGTGATGTGACAAATTTGCTTGTGCAGTGATCCATGTTCTGGAGATCACTTCTTTTCTTCAGTGAAATGAAGAGGTCACATGATTCAACTCAATGAAACAATATTAAAGGTCTCAAATAACTTTGGCCCAGTATTCTAGGGGAAGGCTCTCTCAGCCTTGCCAAGAGCATCCCCAAAGAATTGTAGGTTGGGCATTGCCTGTGATGTTTAACAAAACTGCATAGTTACAAAACTTTCAGAAGATACCAAGAATGCCGGAAGCTGCATGCTTTGAATTCTGGCTAATTCCTTTTCTCACTTCTTCCCATATGCTGTGTGGCTACATTCTTTTCATTGTTTTGTGCACTTGCTTTCCAACAGTCAATAGAAGAGCAATTCCAAGGAAAAAATGTATCAATTCCTTCTACAGGATCACCTGTAGAAGGAATTGTGGCACCCTTGTGGGGTGCTACAAGGGTCGGTCCTCTTGCCCCTTCTGTTCAACATTTATGTAAAGCTGCTGGGCGAGATCATCCGTGGTTTTGGGGTGAAGTACCATCAGTACGCTGACGATACTCAGCTGTACATCTCCACCCCGGACCACCCCAACGATGCCCTTGAAGTGATGTCCCGGTGCCTGGAGGCCATGCGGATCTGGATGGGGAGAAACAGGCTCAGGCTCAACCCATCCAAGACCGAGTGGCTGTGGTTTCCGACGTCCCGATATAGTCAGTTGGTGCCATCACTGACTATTGGGGGCAAATCGCTGGCCCCCACGGAAAGGGCTCGCAACTTGGACGTCCTCCTGGATTCACGGCTGTCTTTAGAAAAGGACTTGATGGTCCTGACCGGGAGGATTTTTCATCAGGTTCGCCTGATTCAACAGTTGCGTCCCTTTCTGGATTGGGACTCCTTACACATGGTGACTCATGCCCTTGTCACTTCCCGCCTGGACTACTGCAATGCTCTCTACATGGGGCTCCCCTTGAAGAGCACCTGGAGGCTCCAACTGTCGCAGAGTGCGGCCGTGCGGGTGGTTATGGGAGTGACATGGCGTTCCCGTGTAACATCTCTCCTGTGTGAGCTGCACTGGCTCCCGGTGGTTTTCCGTGTGCGCTTCAAGGTCTTGGTTACCACCTTTAGAGTGCTCCATGGTGACCTGGTTATCTACGGGACTGCCTGCTGCCACCAGTAGTCTCCCACTGGCTGGTACGCTCTCATAGAGAGGGGCTCCTCCGGGTGCCATCGGCCAAACAATGTCGACTGGCGCCCCCCAGGGGGAGAGCCTTCTCTGTGGGGGCACCTACTATCTGGAATGAGTTCCCCCCGAAGATATGGAGGATCCCGGATCTATGCACCTTCCGCCGCGCTCTCAAGACCTTTTTATTCCATCAGGCTGACCTGGCCTATTTTTTTCCCTTTTTTCCCTTTTTAAAATGCAAATTTTAATCTGTTCTTAATTATTGGGGTGTTTTTTTTTTTAATTTGATTTATATGCCGCCCTTCTCTGGAGACTCAGGGCGGCTTACAATGCGCTAAGCAATAGCCTTCATTCTTTTGTATATTTTTATACAAAGTCAGCTTATTGCCCCACAACTGGGTCCTCAATTTACCTACCTTAGAAAGGATGGAAGGCTGAGTCAACCTTGAGCCTTGGCGAGATTCGAACCTGCAGTAATTGCAGGCAGCTGTTCTTAATAACAGGGTGCTTTAGACCACTGTACTACCAAGGCTCTTTTAAATCGGTCTTCGGCCAAATTGTTTAATTCGGTTTTATTCTGCTTTTAAATTTTGTATTTATGTGTTTTATCTTGTGGCTGTTCACCGCCCTGAGTCCTTCGGGAGTAGGGCAGTATATAAATCA